CAGCCACAGGGCACGGGGCAGGAGCTGGCAGCTTTGCAGGAGACCACGGGACAGGGAGCGGGGAAGAGCTTTCAAAGCTGCTTTGGTATGTTAGGAGCTAACAAAGCAATGCTCCAGAGCAGCGTGGTCGAAGCAGTAGGGTAGATGAGCTTCAGCCACCTCCCACCGGTGCAAGAGGACACCCCGGGGAGAGGAGCGAGGACCACGAGGGAGAAGGGCAGGAGCTGGCAGCTTTGCAGGAGACCACGGGACAGGGAGCGGGGAAGAGCTTTCAAAGCTGCTTTGGTATGTTAGGAGCTAACAAAGCAATGCTCCAGAGCAGCGTGGTCGAAGCAGTAGGGTAGATGAGCTTCAGCCACCTCCCACCGGTGCAAGAGGACACCCCGGGGAGAGGAGCGAGGACCACGAGGGAGAAGGCCGTGCCCGACCGTGCCAAAGGGCTCTGGCTGCTGGGGCCCCCCTCTACGGCTCCATGCCAGCAGCAGTGTCCCCAGGGCCAGGGCTGCAGGTTGCCCACGTGGGGCAGGGGCAGTGGGGTGCTGCTGCTGCAGGCCCTGCCCCTGTCTCCTGGAGGGATGCAAACTGACGAAGCCCTGCGTCGCTGTGGGGCGTGGAGGCCGGGCACCCCCACCGCTGCCTGATGGCGCCCACCAGCCCCCAGCCGCAGGCTGTTCCTGCACCCTGCTGACAAACATCCCCGGGGCAGTGCAAACAAGGGTGGTGTGTGGGTGACGCATGGCAGGGTGTGGGGCCCAGCTGGGTGCCATCCCTCAGCCAAGGATGTGGGCGATGCCAGGGGGTGGTACCCACAGCCTGGCTGGTAGCTGCAGGGATGCTCCAGCCGGGATCAGTGCAGCCACCGGTGGCCCCCCCCCCCGGGGGCCCATCCAGGCCAGCCCCTGGCCCAGCCAGGGCTAGGTCAGTGGGCATCCCTGCCCGGTGCCAGGCTGCTCTCTGCCGCAAGGCTAGCTCCGTGTTTGCACTAGGAATTAACACTAATTGCAGGGGGTTTATTGACCAACTAGGAGAGGTTCTTCCTGTCTTTCCTGCGGAAACGTTGAAGGTAAACAGAGTGGAGATCTGGGCGGCTTTCCAGTAAAGCAGGGAGGGATGGAGGGGAGTCAGCAGTAAGATTTTTATGGTGGGAATGACCTGAGCTGGGCAAACAGTGATGCTGGTGAGCACCAGGCTATAAAGTGCAGCTCCTCTCCTCTCCTGACAGCCCAGGGGAAGCCATTATTCCTCCCAATCTCCGGATCGCAGGTGAGGAAGGGGACCCTCGCGGGGCAGCTGTGACTGCGGGATGCTCCAAGGTGGCTTGTGAGGGAGCTCCGAGGTGGCTTGTGAGGGAGCAGGAGCCGGTCCCAGCCCCGGCAGCTCCCAGGGGAGCTGCGTGCTGCCCTTGCTGGATGGGGCAGGCTGCAACGATGCAATTTTCAGAGCCGCGTTGACTTTTGTCCCTGCTTCTTTGAGAGGAAGACGAGCTGAGCCTGCAAATCGGCCCTGGTGCCTGGGGATTAGCCCAATAAAGAGGAACTGCGCTGATACGGCTGATTTGCCTCCCCGGCCTGGGTCTGGCAGTGCTATGAGCTTGGGGGGTGAAAACGATGCTGTGCACGTAGTCCCTGCAGCCCTACTGGCCCTGGCTCTGCCTGTGCCATGGCTGCTGCTGTCCGATGCCAGGGCAGGGC